TAGTCTATTTTGCATTAAATTAAAAAAAATCTTTTTGCCTTCGATAGAGTTTATTTCCGTGTTGATCTTATATTTTTTTGCAATTGATGGCGCTGTTTACGAAACAAAATTTTTAAATTATTTGTATTCTGTAAATTAATTAATGCACACATAATTATAATATATAACGAAAAAAGTTTGAAACAATGCATACAGGACGCACTGATAAATGCGCATGTATTTTCCATGAATCGAACCTATCACTATTTATGAGGTCTAAATGTAAATAAATCTGAAAACTTCTTACCTAATAAACAGAGTACCATCATTATATTAAGGAGTATTCATCATCATAAAGAGGGTTTTGTCAGTAGTTGCAGGCTTGGCAGGTTAATTGGCAACTACGGTTAGGCTTTGGTGATGTCTAAAAAGGGACGCTGCTGCCCATTCCTCAACCATTTAGTTCTCTTAGTCGTCTCCTAGAACTCCCACGGGAAAGGAAGGGATACTCATTATGTTCCAGGATCACACGGCAGATATAAGAAACAGAGTTTACCATACTAAATTAGAGGCACTTTTGGTTAATTAATATTTATCTACATCAGTTAAGTTAATATCAAAACAATGTAGTGTAAGGTAACTACGATTAATGAATATTTTAGCAAAATAGACTTAATGAAGGAAGCTTCCTTTGTCCCGACCTAGTGGGTTGATTAGACAGCCTGTTATGGCAAGGGGATTAACCATGATATAAAATTAGCCTAGATAGATTAAAAAAAATATTATTATTTAATTAATAAAATTATGTTTAATGATTAATGAATGATATTAGAAGATTTTTATAAAAGTAATAGGGTTGATAGACCATTCCGTTACTTATCGACTTTAAAAATTATTTTCAAATATTTTTTGTTCAGCAATTATAATTTATTCACCAATTTTGATTTGATTGTCAAAATGAATTGTCAAAACTATTTTTTAACTGTAAAGATTTTTATCTTGTTAGTTCTATAATAATTTATTATTTGTTTAGTTTTCCTCTAAAGAACACAGTATCACATTATTAAAAAAAGGAATTTCTTCACAGTCGGCAATTGTTTGTAATTTTTATTGTGTAACTGTTTGTGTGGTAAAAAATATTATTAATGCATCGGGTTTAATACCTACAAAATTAAGATTGTTTTTAATTTGTATGTGTTATTTTAAATTTTGTGTATAATACCTACTATTAATTTACAATAATTTTCGTCGATTGGTAAGGAATTCAAATTTTGTGTGATAATTTAATATCAGTTTTACTGCGTAGAAACTAATGGAATATTTTGTACTACAAAGTGAAACTTTTTTTCTATTTCCTACATAAATAAGTATTTATGTAAAAAATAGAAAAAAAAAATTGTTGAGACTTTACTACTGAAGTACCAAACTGATTTGAAAGAAATTTAGCAAAATCAGTCTAAATAAATGAGCTTGCGATATGAAATAGAGTATGTGATATCAGTATTTATTTTTCCATTAATGACACATCTAGAATCAATATGTTATAAACCTTGGATGTCTATTGTTAGATTGAATTGGATTAGATTGTATGGTTTACTAGATCCATCAAATCAGTAGTATATTTAATTTTTTTTTTTGAAGATAGTATTCAACGTTCGACGTCAGCCTCACTTGAAGAAAAAGTCTCCATAATTTTTTATTTGGACAAACTTAGTTATGAAACTAATTAGGAGTCCTATCGATTACAAAAAGAATCAACAAAATAGTTGCATAATTAGTGAATATACCACGAAACATACGAAAACACAGTCGCATAGGGAACCTTTTCCTTTTTAAAGTAGGTGGATAAATTAAAAATGCTCTGCTTGTCTGAGTTTGAATAATGTTTCCGACATATCACTGACTGCCTGACAATTTGTGTGAAGTGCGTTACCAATTACGGTACGGAAGACATATTGTCAGTGGGTTTTTCAATGTCTTTCATTGTCATTAGGGCTGATGTAGGCGTCATCTACGAAGTTTTTTAATGTCTGGTACCTATTAAGTTCTACGTAAAAAACAGAGATATTTTGTATGTAGCCAGAACTTCCTTTTTGTGTAAGCTGTGTACTTGTACAATACGACAGTAATAAGGTATTTTATGATTAGGCTAAAATGCTGACATGGTCTGCCTAGGATCATCTATCGTAAAAAGCAAAGCCATAGCAAACATAAAGAAAATTTTATTGTCCGCGGATAAATATTCCTCATATGCACAGGCATTTCATTTAATGACGGAAGTTTTTGGCCAGCTTAAGATATAAAATAAATAAAATTTTTCTTTAACGACTTCTGCTACGTAGAAACGTGAACAATAACTTGGTTATTGTTCTTAGATAACAAGAATTTTTATTACATTACTTCCCATAAATATAGCTGATACTGTTTTAATTTTAGGCTACAATATCCCTTGTAGGTACTATTGGGGGTGAAAGGAATATAACGAAAAGTTAATAATTATTAAACGTTCTTTATAATTTTCAACAACAATAACAATTAATTATTTGTATTAATGTCTCTAAACATTACTTTAAAAATAGATATTTTTTACACAAGGAAACATAATGGGAAATATATATTTTTGTAAATAATGTTCATGTGTTCAATATATACTAAAGAAGTGATCGTTGCCAATAGGTTCAACAACTAACCTGACTGGATCGACCGAATGTAAACTAGATTTTATCTAATGGCTAACTGAAAGATGTTAAAAGTACCCATGTTAAAAAGCATTTACACTTACACATAGATAAGTAGTGAAAAACATTATAATTGTCTATCTTAATTTATTATTAAAATTAAGAGTTTCACTACTAAATTACTTGTTTGAAGAATATATGGCTTTTTTATTTAGAAATAAATAACTTTTCTTGCTAGGAAAGTTACTTATTTCTAAAAGTTGCAAAAGTTATTTATTGATACCATAGCATTCCCATAGTCCCATATAAAATACTTGAGAATTTGGAATTTGAATTTGTTTTTGTCATTTCTCCAATCATTTTGTTTCTGCATATATTTTAAACAAAATTCCTAATAGAAATTTAGCCGGAGTCAATTACGCTGTGTTGTTGACACATGCAGTCGCAGGATCTATTTTAATCTGTTGTTCTATGTTTAAATGTTGGGAACTAGCACCATTGTTATATCTAGATACTTTGACATAATATTGTTCTATGGTATCGCCACAAAACAGTTAGGTAACTAGAAACGTGACTCGCATGGCTCAGCATCCCAATTGACACGTTGAAACTGACGCGTGTGCTGAATGTTAGCTGAGATAAGCCAATTAAGGGCACCGCCTGGATTGGGACTGCACTGTTTAATTTTGGGATATCAATTTATAGTTGTAAGCTGCTACTTGTTAGAGATTTGTATTGTGTTCTACATAATGTGAAAATAATGCATAAACTTAATTCAAAATATTTAATTTAATCTTATTAGATACAAGTTTTACCCGTAACTTCGTGTACGTGTCCGGAATATATTCAGTGACCAGGATAGAAGATAAAGAAGCTTACCTCTTTCTCTATCCCATATGGTACCTGTATACCAAATTACATAATGATTGGTTAAGACTTTAAGGCGCCAGACAAACAAACTCACTTTCACATTCATAATATTAATAAGGATAAATAAAGTAAGGATTTATTTTCTACTGAATTTAAAAAGCATACAGTGTGTATTTGAGTTTATTGTTTAAGCAACTCCCAAAAGAAATTTCTTCTTATTTATTTTTGTATGTTTTAATGGAAGGTGAATTGAAAACATTGAAAAGTTGTTTTTTCTTGGTTAATCATCAATTGTTTGTAGTAAATAAGCAGTTCTATTTATAGTATTTAGCAACTGAAATCGTTATTAATGCTTCGAAATGATGAAAATTGCTAGACTACATATCTAACAGAATAATAAAAGTTCTTTTTTATCTTTTAGTGGATTTTATAATTTTTAAACAATATTTAAAAAAGATCTGTTTAAAGCGTATGACATTATAGTAATAAATCACGCTCAAACAATATATTACCTTTAGAAAATATACTTTATATTCTGAAGATTTATATCTATCATCTATATATCTAAACATCTTAACAATCCTATGACTGACGGGAATAAGCAGCAAAATTTAAAAAGGATTAGCATAATAGATGACAGAAGTCGCAGTGTTATACTCGTAGATATCTGCCTGACAAAACTAAATACGGTAAAAAGACTGATAATCTGGAAATTGGTGTCTTGAGATAAAAGATGTAAACAAGAATATTTTGAGGAGACACGTGATATTTTAAATTGTAATGTCATTTTCAACTGATTTCAAAAACAGAAAGTTCTCTATTCGGTTATATTTTTTATGTCTATTACCTCATATCTCCGTCATTTATAAACCGATTTGGAAAATTTTATCAGAAAGGATGCACATCAGATTTTTATTAAAATTGGTTTAGTAGTATCGTTTTTAAATAAAAATATCTGGTTTTACCACGACTGAAGTCGATGTTTTTATTGTGGGACAAAAACATAAATTATTTATAGTCGTGTTTTAAAAAATATACCTATTGACCATTTGTATAAATTTTTTCTTCTTTTTTTACTAATACTCAAGCAATGGTGCCTGATGTAAGTCAAAACTGAAAGTTTAAGAAAAAGTTATTATATACGTTTGCACTGTTATAGTATACTAATTATCTGGGCTATAAAGAATGTCATAAATTATACGTAAGTACTATAGTACTATGTTCAGTAAAAATAGATATCATATTCCAATAATCGAACATAACAAATACCTGTATTATTGAAAAGATTGAACCATTTGCTGATTTGCAATAGCGTAGATTGGAATAATGCTTTTTAACTGTAATTTCTTTATGAAAATACTGTAATAGTTGAGGTGTATAAAACAATATTTACAGAATGCAAATCGGAAATCATCGTCATCGAGTGCCATTTCAATAATCCGCAAAAGCTCGACTGAGTCGGCGCGAAATGTCAAAGCTAGAGTGGGGGGCAGTCACCCTAAAGATATTGAACGTAGAGGCTGTGTCGCCTTATGCTCCGTATACATCGCGATGTCGTTTAAAAACTATTCGTATAATTTAAATTAAGAATATTAAATCTATTCAAAGTGAGAGAAAATGATTTTTTGTGACTTTAAATATGAGGTGTGAACGCGAAGTGCAAAGTGTCAAGCATGGTCGCGGGACCAATTAAAACAGATAAACGTGCATGGAACCAGTTCATCAAGTGTGTTATCTTTTTGCACCTTTTGTTCAGTTTTCCCTGTGCAACGAAAGGTAAGTGATTTTTTTGTGCAAGTCGATATCTGAATCAATTGATATCGCAGGCCAGGACTATTTGTTATTAAAATATAATTAGTAAACAAATAAAAAATTATATATAATTTATTACACTCAGAATATATTAACAATTATAATTTGAGACAATGGGGCTGATTCTGAGGTTCTATGTCTTTGAACCTATCTCTTAATCTAGAAATTTAACAATTTTCCAAAATTATTGTTTTATGAACTATCATAAACTAAATATATAATAATTTTGACTTAAATATATCAAAAATTTTGTTCATTTTAGTTCTTAAAATAAAGATTTTGCTGTGATATCAAACTGAAATTTTAATTTTAGAGATAGTATTAGAAAAATGGAGCCTTGTAATCAACCTCATGTGACCAAACGTGAACTACTTACACCTTGCATTTTGTTAAGTACGAAAAACCTAATTTGTAATGTATGTAATGAAAAGTTATATATGTAGTATATCTATTTGCAAAATATTATAGACAAAAAATTTCGTGTTTAAATAAAAATAAATAGCTACGCCAGTCTTTTTCTACACAATGTTAAATAAAAATTTAAAAAGATTAAGAAAGTATTTGCTCATGATTTTTTTTTACTATATGGTTTATTTAATTAATGCATGAAATAAGTTAGTTTCATTTATTTACATAAAAAAATCAAAATTTAGAGGTGATTTAAACTTATAGGAAAAATATGTACTTTTAATTGATGTATTCGAGGGGTTAAGATTTATCACTCGTTGTATCTTGTTTTGTATGTTTTTATAATTTCAGTTATTTTTTTAATACGAAAGGTATATAATTTCTTTCGATTTTAGGCACCTACCTTTTTAATGTTTTTTGCGTTTGACTAAGTACACAAATATTAGAAGATTTACAACCATATAATTATCAAATATACATTATAAAGGAATTAAACGGCCTATTGTGGAAGCATTCGTGATTCAGGTGGTAATAATATTATACAAACTATCATCGTAACAATAGTGACAGTTGGTGCCTGTCCCAATATTTTAGAGTCTCACTATACAAATGCTATTGTTGCACGCTTCATTCAAATTCCATCCCTTTCAAATAATTCTTTTTCCATAAAGCTCAAAGTCGTGCGCCGCGTATCAAAGAACATCCAGCGGACACGATTGTCGGGAGAAGCGAACCTGCTACCCTGCGGTGCGTGTCTGAAGGGAAGCCAAAGCCGACCATTCAGTGGTATAAAGATGGGATACCGCTCGCACCAACAGATCATCCACATAGAGTGTTGCTTGAAGATGGACTGTTATTTCTTAGGTATGTTGTTACGATAAGTGTAAACTTGCGACACGTAGTCCAAACCCCCCCTCCTTCCCTAGAAAAGTATAAACGATTCTATTGATAGAATCGTTATCGCTAGTTAGTCCATGGAATAGAATTAGATGGAGACATGCGCTGTTGTTCTTTCTCATGTGAGCGCTGACTGAAACGATTCTATCGATAGATTCATTTGCATTTTGTCTAGGGAGGCAGACAAACTAACTCATTATTGCTAAATCGGAATTGATGATTTTATAAATAAACAGTTTGTATTTTAGAAATTATAACATTTTATTGACTATAAAGTGTAGTCTTATACCTTATTTTATACAATTGTTAACATAAGTAACTGTAATATAATTGCATCAGTCAACAAATATCAAATATCTATGTAATAACAAACAACCCCATATATGCAAACTATTTATTATTATTAATATTGTATGAATTACATGAATCAAACAAATAGACCGATTCAGATAAAGTTTATGTCTAAAAAATTTAAATTTCACACTTGTATCTGCGTACCTATTGACGTTAAAGATGGTAATCAGATATTATCATGACCTGCTGCTCTCCTATATAGCATAGAGTAATTGTTATTAATTTGTTCGGAGTAGTTTTTATATATGGAACTTATTAGATGTATAATATATAGCAGCTATATAATTTGGAATTTTTAAAAGTGATATTAAAAATTGTTGTGAAAGTTACTAATAATAATATTTATTTTCTAAACTTTTCTTTTAGAATTTTTAGTTACACTAATAGAATTTTTGTTTTGTAACTTTGACGATAATGTTTGAAATCTGAAAATTATTTTACGAGAGTTTTACGGTTTGCTTTACTACTTAGGGGCTAATTATGTTGTTACCTTGTAGGGTTATGCGTGGTAAAAAGGAAAGCGACGAAGGAGTGTATTGGTGTGTCGCGAGGAACTCTGTCGGCGAAGCAATTAGTAAAAATGCCACATTGACCATTGCTGGTAATATAATGTTTATATACGTATATAATTTGTATTGAATATATTGGAAGAGAAGGGAAATAATGGGAGGATATTGGCTATGGACGATATTTGTGATGCAGTATGAAGCACGTTGTGCTGCGAAAATGAGGTTCCGAGTTCGATTCTCGGTCTGGTCAGTTCAATAAATAAACTTTTCTACTTTCAACTTTATCTAGCTCAAGTGTAGGTAGGTGGTGTCCCAAAATTTTCGTGTTAGTTACAATATATATGTATATGTGTATGCATGTATATTTTGACCTTTGACTCATAGCATAAATGCATTATGGCCCAAGTATAAATGGTTTGATCGAGTTTTATAAACGTTATATTAGTCTGAATTGTAGGAGTGCCATTATGTACTACACGATGACTGTACAAAATAAATATGACGGCCAATAACAGTAAAAAAAAAAAAATATTTTACAATCGGATTTTATGGAACTTGTCATGTCCATTTGTTTTATTGCTGATGTTTGAGTTTTGTGTGATTCGTTTGGGTTATTCCATCTTATATCTACCATAATGTATCTAGACATGCATAATTATATTTTGGTATAAAAATTGTTGTTATATTTTTAGTATAAAAGATAAGGTAATTGTTACATTTTTTATACAAAATGCGTTAAAGATTTAAGAGTAATAACAGAATATGAGTATTCTTTAGAGAACATTATATAATTAATTACTCATTTTGTTTGTATACATATTGTTAATCTTTATAATCTGTAACATTCTTTGTAGGAAATAATAAAGAGTTTTTATTAATTAATTAATTCATAATATTCCATGATGTTTTCTTTGATAATAACATTTACTGTCATTATTAAATACGCCGATAATTTGGTTAATATTTTCAGAAACACAAAAATATACATAATATATTATATTGAATTAATTATACTTAATTTATTTATACATATATTATTTTCTTATATACTATAGAAACGTAAATAATATGAGTCGGGCTACTACTTTCGTTCAAAACGATGGAAATCGATTACTAGTAAACGTGGAAGTTAGGTTTCCTCCCCTATATGTTAAATATTTACAATCTACCTACCTTTATAATAGTTATTTTCTAATACCTCATTGGATATGTTAAAATATCGATTAAGTGTTGTGAAGTTAAGTAAACTACGAAAAGCATAAACGGTAATTTGCTAACATACCTACCCATACATAACATTTATTATGGGCAATTATTTTTATCATTATGATATTAGTCTTTAATTATCCACTGCTAAACATAAGCCTCCCCCTTGGGGAATTTTGCCAATAGTTGCCACGCTTAGCAGGCTAATTGGCAACCCCAGTTAGGCTTTAGAGATATTTTAAGAGGCCCGCTGCTGCCCATCCTTTGCCCCCCTTAGTTGCCTCTTACGACACCCACGGGAAAGGAAGGGGTGGCCTATACTATACCGGGACCACAAGGGCGTATATTTAACATGTACTTATACGGTTTATCTGTTCACATATTAATTGTGTCATACTCGTAAGTGAGAATGTTGTTTTATTGTACTAACATCTGCTTGTATGTGCGTTTAGTTAGAAGTAGACATTGAGTAGTTTTCATAAGATATTTATTTCAGTTCTTCGAGATGAATTTAGAACAGAACCTCATGATGTAAAAGTGGCAAGTGGAGAACCCGCTTTACTAGAATGTTCCTCTCCCAAAGGAGTGCCAGATCCTTCTGTCCATTGGATTAAAGATGGACAGACTTTAGACGTGGAAGTCAATGGAAGGTACTTATTAATATTGTTGTATCAGTCGTTAATTGTCCACTGTTGGACATAGCCTCCCCCATAGGCATTAGAACAATAATCATCATATTAGCCGTTAACTATCCATTGATGAGACATTTTTGATTGATTGAGTCCCCTCCATAAGGAAGGTTTTGCGAGTAATTGCCACGCTTGGTAGTGCGGGTTGGCAATAGCAGTTTAGTTAATTTTAAACTTTCGCGTTGTTTACACATATTTTAAATTCACAACGTCGGCAATAAAGAAGCAGATACGTAGGTACTATTTACCTGTAAAGTCTTTTACATCGCGTTAAGTTCCGATTGTGTATTTAAAATAAAAGCAATTTACTTATTATGTAATTAAGTTTAATTTCACGCGTATAATTAAAAGAATATAAAAACATGTATAGATAATTTCTTAGGTATATATTTTTATTAATCAGTTGATGAGAAATAATTTTTTGCTACTTCATTTAGTCATGCTAATATCAATACCTAGGCCTAGTGACTCAGAAATGTAATCAATTAAGGAAATTAAAAACGAAATATCGACTAAGACAAACATGAGTAATGCTCATTTTTATTATAGGTGCTGTACATCTATATGTGGGAATTATAATTTTATTAGTGGTTGGTGCGGCACTTATTTCTTAAATGTTTCTTTCAGAATATCTGTAGTAGATGGTGGTAACTTAAAAATTCTCGAGAGTTTACCATCAGATAGTGGTGTATACATATGCGTGGCATCTAATGTGGCAGGAGAAAGGCAATCGCGCCCTGCTACATTGCTCGTATTACGCAGACCACATTTTCTAGTGAAACCTAATAATATAACGGCGCTAATAGGCCAGAACATCGAGTTTCATTGCCAAGTAAGTCGAGATATGTAGCTATGCGGTTTCTTGTTACTTTTGTTTGTTACGCCAACCATGAAATTAAACAGTGATCGAGTAATTCCAACTCCTTTGCTGTTCATATTGATCCAATTCCAAACAGTAATTAATTAAAGAAACAAAGTTATTCGTTATAACTAAGTTAAGAGCTCTTTGTTATAACTAAGTTACTGTGAGAAATTACGTCACGATTAATCAGTTACAAGCCATTTAATTATAAGTAAAAATAAGTAAATAATACTTTATATTTTAGGCGTCACCAGAATCAGACGTGTCTGTTACATGGTCGCGTGACAGTGGCACTTTATCTCCTTATGCAATAGTACGCCGAGGATCCTTAAGAATAGACCGATTAGCTTCTACAGACGCGGGAACATATACTTGTAGAGCGGAAAGCCAAGCGGGTTCAAGTGCAGCCAGTGCCATACTAACAGTTTATTGTAAGTCACTTAAAAAAAAAAACTAAGATTATTTTATTTAAATAAATTTTTCATTAATACTATTACTGTTTTCACAGCTTTACCTCATTTTACACGAGTGCCTTCGGACCAAACAGCATGGGAAGGAGAAGCTGTGTCATTTCCATGCGAAGCGGATGGGTCACCTAAGCCTATTGTATTTTGGACTATGGAAGGGTCCCAGGTAAGATATAAGATATGAATTGTGCTTGCCAAATATAAATGAGAATTATTAAGGTGTGAAATATAGATGTGATAATAAGTTTTAGTTATTATTACAGGAATTAATATTTCCGAAATCAAGTCACGGTACCGGTTCATTATATTTAGATCGAGTACTAACTCGACATGCGGGTAGATTATCTTGCGTTGCTGTGAGTGCTGCCGGTAGTGCTTTGCATACTGCTACTCTTCAGGTAATGATTGATCTCCTAATTACTTTTAAAGTAATTTAATATAAACTGGTTTCTGACTTAAATTGTTGGACTATGTTGTAGGTTTTAAGAAGAGAAGCCAATTCTTTCAAGGGAGACTCTGAGTCATCTTCTCCTTATCCTGAGTTAAATAAACCATTAAATTATCCACCAATGACACAGTATGAATTAGTACAAGCTCGACGTTATTTGCAACAAGATGTTTTAGCTCTAAGACGGGTTGAAGGAATATCTGCTACTACAATTAAAATTGTTTGGGATGTGAGTATTTTCATATAATTTTAATTGATAAATACCCGTATGTCTTTATATAAAATATAAAAAAATTGTAATGTGATATTGCATATATTATAAAAAAAAATTATAACGTTTTTTTTTCTACAGGTGATGACAGATTATAATGAATATTTGGAAGGTGTAAAAATATGGTTTAATGGAACATCTCTTAATCGACAATATGTAATGGAAAACCCCATGAATTCTAATTCATCGTTAGACAGCATAGTTGAATTTAGTAAATATGAAAATTTTTCTATGACCACTGTACATAACAGTGGGTCATCTAGTCATGTATTAACAGGGTTGATGCCGTATGCTCAATATGATGTATTTTTAATGCCATTTTATAAGTTACTGCTAGGAAAACCATCTAATATGAAATCTGGTTTTACTGAAGAAGACGGTAAGAATATTTTCTCCTATAATTAAAAATAATATACTTTAATCCAAATTAATATACTTTACACTACTAGCAGAAGACCTTCAACAAAAAAATCTCTGCTTGAGTACCTCTATTTTACTTTTGTATTTGGTTCAAAGTATGAAATATGCTAATGAATTAACAGGTTATAGAAACTTAGTCTCTAGTAATAAAATCATACAATGAGTGTTATATTGATAAGTGACGGTTTCTACTTTATTCAACTGCGGTGTCAGGTTGTTTACGAGACCAAGTATTATTAAAACGTTTTTAAAATTATTTTCCTTTTGTAAAGACTTTTTAATCAAAGTTTAATATCCTAAAAGCTGACGTTGTAAGTATTTTCCAGTTCCAACGGCACCACCGCAGAGTCTTTCAGCTGGCGTGATAAATGCGACGTCAGCGTGGATTCGGTGGGATCCGCCCCCCGTACATACTTGGAACGGTGAACTTTCTGGTTACTTGGTTAGTACTTTTCCTTTAACTAACAACATTCATTTATCTGCTTTTCTGAAGTAAAACTATTTTAGTCAGTTCGACTTTAAGAAATATGAAGTAGAGAAGAGCTTCTCTAAATTTTCTTTAACTTATTTTACTTTGCTGAGCCCTGGGTTTGCGAAATTTCCTGTAACTTTAGGTAACCTAATTAATTGATATCAAATAGCTCCAAGACTTTACCATTATTGTAGGTAATTAATATTGTTAAAAAGCTTTTTTAATTAATACTTTTAAAGAATAATTGGCATTTAATATTATATTAAAAACGCAATAAATGCTAAAACTGAGTAGTTCTTTTGAATGAGTTCTGTCTTCTGACAGAATTCATTAAATTAATCAACCTTCAGGTTATTGACTTCCATTTAATGAATATTTAAGTATTTTCTTTATTTTAATTTTAAAATCATCAGCCATACTTAACATTCAATTAAAAATCTCTACAAGAGTGTTCCTTTTTTAGATCGAAGTGAGGGTAGGTGGGGGCAATGGTGGTCGAGTTGTAGGCCAAATGTCGCTAGGACCGCGTACTCGTGCCGCTGCGGCTAGTTCTCTCCGTGCTGGTGGGCGCTACAGTGCTCGCGCTGCAGCTGTCACTCATAGAGGACACGGCCCATTTAGTGCGCCTGCGCTCATACATATGATACCAACGCAGACACAAAGACATTATGTGCAGTAAGTAAAATACTAGTTGTGAACTGACTGAAATATTGATTTTTCTTTGTAAATAAGACATAAGGAGCCTGTTACATATGTAGAATTAGGACCTGCAACCATTTAAATCAATTCTAACCAGAAAGATAATATTTTTATATGTATGTTTACATATAAACAAAGGAAAGCTAGACAAGGAAATGAACAATTTTACAAAATAAAGGAAAGCTACATCACACAAGTACTAAGGGATTTAAAATTATTCATGACAGCCATACTGATTAGTGTTTATTTTATGTACTGATATTGATAAATTACTGATTGTTTCAGAACTGAACCGGCTACGGATAAAGCTATTTTGTCTATGTTCCAAGAAACATGGTTGTTGGTATTGTGCGCATGTCTACTTGTATTAGTTTTAATTAGCGCAGCTACAGTAATTTACATTAGACATCGAAATTCAAAACAACGAAAAAGCCAAAATTCGACAAGTTAGTAATCTATAATTGAAAAGCAGAATATAAAATATAAATTTTTGAATTAAGTGTGTATTGAACATAATCAATATTAATATCATGAGAAATTTCTTCCAGGTACAGCTATAGCTAATGCTCACCAGTGTTTATTAGGTAAAGAAGCAGTTTGGCTCCGAGAAAGACCAGTATTTGAAGGATCAAATGAACCTAGGATAGAAATATTGAATTGTCATCAAAGTCTTCTGCATAGTAAGTAATAATACACACATATGTTATTACTCATATATACTGAATCTTATGATTATTCAATTATATTTATAAACATACATTGTAAGTATTGAGTATCATTTCTAGGTTCAAACCCTCAGCTCTAGATTTAAAGGAAACTGTATGTTTTTTAGGCACCTGTATTATACGGATCAAATTATAAAACCATATATGACATTAATGTTTTCATTGCACGGTCGAATGAAATAATTTTATTATGTGATATTAGACACTTTATTTTGCTTTGTTTTAATAGAACCCATCTTAAATTGTAGGCGGTCACTCTGTAGGAACGATGGCTATGGAAGCAGAATATACTTTACCACAGCATTCTCACACTATGAACCCGATGCCTCAAGAAGAATACAAAAGAATGCCTCCGGAACCATATGCTTCTAGTGCCATTTATACTGAACTTAATTATCAGGTATAGAAATTCGTTATTAAATTTGATTCTTTAATATTACTTTAGTTGTTATTAACTGAATTAGTAATATACTAATGGGACAAAAGTACACTCTCACTTTAAAATTTTTTTATTTAACAATAAAAATGTTAAATATTAGTAATAATGTTCACAATGAAAAATGTGTATTGTATCTCATTATATTGTTTATAGTTTGCATATAGATTTAAAATGAAGTACCTCGCAGTCGAGCTCCGGTCGAAAATTTAAATTGTATTTCTCGTTAAATTGAATTTTCCCCGTTGTATCATCTATCTAGATCAATTATTCATTCTCAAAATCTCATGATTCGTATATTACGCAAACATTGCTGGTTTAATTGTAAAATATTGATATGGAACCGACTATAATGCAATTCATTTCATATTATAGACTGATATAGAAGACTCTTGCATGAAATGTGCCAATAGTCCAGGATCATGTGACAACAGTATGATTAGATCCTTTGGAGAAAGTAATCAATACTCTAATGAAGAATGTTCTACGTGCTGTCGCAGTAGTAGTTCTACATTAACAAAAGACTACAGCGAAATGACAAAATGTGGAAACGACGCCGATGATATACAAGAAATGTCGATAGATGATTGCCCATCATGTAAAACAAATCATTCTAGATCATCAAGCCATCACGATGCTAATAAGGACTGGGCTATGGCAGAAGTTGAATATGATTATCCACAATGGCATTGGTTAGGGAAAGAAAATAGTTTCAGACATCGAACTCAAGATACAAGACACTCAAGTGGAGAACGGAGTGATCAAAATTGTAGAATGAATTTGTGTGACATTCTTCCACCACCACCGTATGAAAGGTATGTATGTATATTAAAGAAAATGTTTATTTTTGTAAATTTCTCTCTCTCTAATCCAGTATTTAGGCAATAAACCTTTTTTTTTCTTATATTAAAAGTCAATATTTATTTATTTCGAACTACTATTTTCGTATAAAAATGTTTTAATATTTAACAATAATATATTACTTATATATACTCGTAGTACAATTTTGTCGTATTTCTGTCCCAAATTGTAACTTTATTTAATGTTTAAGGTTCAGTTTGATATTTAAAAAGCCAGTAATAGTACATCGTAATTTTTTTTTTATGTTATTATAGTTTTCCAATGTAATATAATTAAACTATTCTATTTTATAAAATCATTATTCACAGAGAATCTCATTACCGAGACATGCGGGGATATGCCAACAACTCGGGTGCATCAGGCTGTTCAGGACATACGTATCGGAGTTAATTTTTGTTTTTCAACTGTATTGTTAACGAATATCATTAGTACGTAAACCAAGCAATACTAATTAGTTAATTTGTACATATGTATGAAAGGTTTCTGCATATATTGACGGAAAATTTGAAAGTTCATTACACCACCACTTAAATATTATTATAAATAATTTAAATAAATCGGTCTCATCAATACCTAGGTGCCCACAATCGAACCTGAGGTAAATAATTTAACCATAAACCAAACAATCGATTAATTGTGATTATACACGCAAGCTCAGTCATATATAAAATTATAGTGTGCCTAATTTGTATTTTGATTAAGCAAATAAATTCTTGTTTGTTTTGTATTTATTTTTATAGGCTGATAATAATATATTATGTGGAGGTGTAATTGTATGTTTTTCAAGTTTAGCTGCTGTGGGTGTGTTTTTAAATAGACTGCTGTTTACCGTATTGTAGACTTTAGAAATAGGTTTCATCTTTCTCTAGTGACTGTGATATAGTATAATTTCTTATTCGATTCTTTATTTTGTACATATTTTTTAATATTTGATATCCTTATACAATTTTATCGTTCATTTACACAATAAGCATCTTATCTATTTTATTGTCTAGTAAATTAATAACTGTATTTATAAACCGAACCAAACGAATTTGAAGGCCATTTTTAGTCACAGCTGTAAAAAAATTTGTATCGAAAATATATTTTAACAGTCTTAAACATTTGTAGAAATGTCTTGAGCCAATCAGCAATATTAAATCATTTACATTTCTATGTGTTTGTTTTAATGATTCTCCATTACTCTATACATAATAGGTGTAAATAACATCAATATTATCACTTTTTTACTTCCACCATTCATCATGTCAGCCTTTAACTGTCCACTGTTGCTTAATAAGCCTCCCCTTGGGGGTTTTGCAAGTAGTTGCCACAGTTGGCAGGCGAACTGATAACCGCAGTTAGGCTTTAGAGATGTTTTAAGAAGAACGCTGCTGCCCATGCCCCGCCCTCCCTTAATTGCTCTTACGACACCCACAGGAAAGGAAGAGGTGAACTATTCCGTGCTGAAATCACACGACTTCCAATCTCTATCGGATATAATCATCTCCTAAACAAGCTGCTGAGCATTCTTACTTCTACACATGCCATTGCTTCATCCAACTCTAAATCATTCTACACTACGATATATATTGCTTACATAAATAAATAGTTACTCCCGATATGAAAGGTGACGACTCTCCAAAAATAAAATGGAATGACGTAAGAGTGGGTGAGGCGAGATCTAAGAAGATGTTTGTAAGATGTCTGCTATTTACCAGAGTTACCGCTTCTAGCAAAGCTATATAAAGTACTTTAGCTATAGTTTTAAAAAGGAAATCTACGTCGACAACTATCGTGAGCCATAATGTATTTTAATTACCTATTTACGTTAACTTTACTCGTAGAACGTGCTGATGAATAATAGCTCCTATTCAGTTCAAAAGTAGTCGGGTATCGTCGATTTCAAATGAGAGATGACATGAATAATCATAAAATCTACATCGTTATAAAAAATAACTGTAAACTAAGTCATAGTGTAAACAGTATACCTAAATGCATGCAGAGATTTTTACATTATTAGAGGTATCATGACATAAATATTTTAAAATTTTATTTTAATACGTATTAATTTTGATCTTAAATTACTTTATATTTTCAAAATGTTATTATTAAAAAAAAGCAGGTGTTAAATTTTCTGTGATTTTATGAGACATTAGCATCCGTAAAATAAACGTAGAAAGAATTGATTGCCTAATATACCGTGCTCGTTTCCTCGCAATTAAAAACACTTTACTGGGCTATAAACCAGCGAATCGCCTGTAAATCGCTTGAGTTGAATCCGTCTTTACACTTTCTAGGAAAAGTTGTATCAAGTTCAATAGAGATTGGTGCGTATTTCAAAGTAACATTTACAATGTACTCGTATTTAGATTTATAGGCAATAAATTGATGTCGCGGTTATGAATTACCTATTAATAGGTTGACACACCTAAGGATGCTATATATTACCCACTTGCAAGCTTCATTTATGAAGCGAAAGTATATTATTTATGTATGCTGTTGGTGTTTCATATACTAAGCGAATTCGATACGAAGAAAATTTAATTTCAAAAATGTACTCCTGTTATAGAGTATCAATTTTTCGACTTAAATCACACAAAACAAAAGAAGTTTCAAGCAAATATAAATCGCATTAAAACTATTATTTCTTATTTCAAGTTTTTTTTTTTATTATTTAAATAGGGTGTATAATTTCTACGACGGCAGTATCATGTCAGCACTGAACTATCTCATATTTAGAGTCAGTAATTGGCCCAGTATAAATTACTTATATACTTATATATTTTATACTGTTGATTGTTTACATTTCATTTTTCAGTATTTAAAAACTTGTAATAATAATAAATAGTATATAATATTGGATAAATATCTGTACCTGTTTTTATATTTTTTTTTTGTGTAATAGGGTACTATTTCACAAAAAAATATATATTAAAAGTTAAGTCTAAATAAATATGACATTCATAGTATCGTATGCTATTTGGACTTAATATTGAGCTATTTATCTTTTGATATTTTTACCATCGTCCTCAACTGAAACCGGTAACTTTATGACACGTATAGCATAAAATCTCCCATAAGCACCGTCATTGTGGCGATGCGATTTGCTTTGACACCCGTAAAATCGTATACGTTTTATAGGCCAAATTCTAGTACTAGATAACAGTTGGTATACTCTTGTGTAACTTTTAGGTGAAATGCGCAGTTTTGATGCACTGATTGGCCCATCAATTGCCCAACAATTTAATAACTTTGAGGGAGGTTATTAATTTGAAAAAAAACTAACATGTGGCAAATGAATGGATGCAATTAACTCAAAACTGTAGTTTGTAGTGAAATATGAAGCAAACCTATACTTGATTGATGAAAACTATTTATAGACCTAGAGATTAGTAAATAATCTAAATAATATTTCGATAGTGTTGTTGTTATTGTACCAGACATTAATTGTCCATTGCTGAACATAGCCTCCTCCATAGAGGAAGGGATTGTTAGTAATGGAAACTGAGAATCCCATTGCTAGCAATAGACCCAACCAGGTCGACCTCCTCGCGGTTCTCCCTAGAAACTGTCATGGGTAATTCCTGATGAATTCATCATGATGAACTAACTGGCCTGTTTTCATTCTCATCCTTCACTAGTGCTCCGCCAGCATATCCCGTTAGCGCAGGTGGGATTACCATACCATTTCTACCCATCCCCCATAGAGGGCGTTATGCACGGGATTTTTAATGACCAGTAATTTTAGGCATAGAATATTTAAATAAAGAAACATAATGTTAACAGAGATTTTATAAAATAACTGTCGAGTTTTATCTGTCTCTTCTCAGCAATAACTTTCTGAACCTTGCATTCATAAAAAATGACGATATAGAAGTGCTTGTAAACAAGTTTATTTGGATAAAGATGGTTTGAATTTAAATTTATAACTTAATTAATTAACTCATAAAGTACATTAACTGAATTTTAAAACATTAACTATTTTCTGTTTTTAAATATTATTTACAAATATCGTACGTCACAGATTCTCAAAACATACCCTTGATCACGACTCATAGAGGTCTTATCCGGCTTTATGTTTGTGTCTGGCAAAATGACAAGCTGTGCTGAAAATGCCACACAATTACAACTGTAATCAGCTCAACTCGTAAATAACTAAACACGTCCTATGCGTGTACGTGGAGCGCAGGCTGCGTCCAAATCTTGGGGTGTTGCCATAGCAACGGGTCAGGTCCTCGCCCCAAGTGCACCCTTGTTATTAATACCCGTAATAATTAAACTTGATTGCATTTCTCACCAGGTGTTAGATGACGCCTCTTGTCAAACACCAAAACTGTTTTACGCTCATAGTTTTAATAAAGGGAAATTGAGGTGATTTCTCAAACTTAATTAAGCACACAAACGCAAATAAATATCGCCATGAAAGGATTAATGACTTTAATTTGTTTCAATTAGGTTTGTGTTACAATTTATTATAGAATCTGTATAATACTAACCTTCACACTGCGGAGTAATCAAATAGAAATAAGTGACAAGAAACGAAGAATAAAAATGACTTCATCCAGTTTTCAGTTCCAACGTCTCTTGCGTTTTCTCTAAGATAATATTTAGAGTTTTATGGATTTTTGGTACTAATATGAGATTTTTGCTTAAATGTAAAAGTTTGTAAAAGTGTTTGGTACAATTACGTTAAAGAGGGTTTAAATTGTTTATAACACTTTATTGCACAGTAAAATCTAATATTATAGGATTTTTTTCAACATTTGAATATCTAAACGGAGTTATTACAGTATTGTCTTATTTGAAGCAGGTAAAGCTGCGAGATACAGTTTGTACTTAATAAATGATAGACGATCAAATTTAATTATCTTAAATACTGTCACATTTTGATCCAATTTATTACCATCATTATTACATAGTAATGACAGTAATAAATTGTACTAAAATTCAATTATATAGTCATTATTATTATGAGGTATATGGTATACTTAATAATAATAATGTAGGTTATAAATAAGGTACAGATGGTAGGTATCCAATAATATTTTAATTGAAATGTATTCTTTACCTATATTCTTAATTCTTATATTACAACTGAGGTTGCCGTCTGGCGACAAGAATTTCTAGAATTACGACTAATTTACCAGAAGGTGACTTTGTACAAAAGTCGTTTGCTAGAGCATCTCTGTCTCATTCGTGTTTTTACCGTGAAGCAGTTGTGTTTGCATGGCGGTGTTTCAGTTTAAAGAGTGGGATATGGTAGTGAATTTACAGGGTACAGAAGAATAACACCTGAGTCCTCAGGAATGACTACGCATGGGGGTTATTATAGGCGAAACAGTGTACTCTGTTATGTCCATGGTACTGCTTATGTCTAAAGGCGACGGTTACCAATTTCCATCAGTTAAGTTGCATAAAAAAAAAACTATTCGATAATTAGTGTACTTACACGCTTACTCGTTATAAACTTAAAATATATCTCATGGCTTCTCTCGCATGAATCGGTATATAAAGAGCTAAGTTAGTTATAGCCAAGTATAAAATTTCGTCCAACCGTTCAGTATTTTTTGCGTGAAGGTGTAAGAAAGAAACATCCATTGTTACAAACTTACTTTCGCATTTATAATACTAATAGAAATTAAAATATGCTATACAATAATTTTTTTTTGTAATAAACCTATATGATTAGTTAAAAGGGTTTTTTCATTCCAAGAGTGGATAGGATATGGCTGACAACAATAAGTACACAGAGCTAAGCAAATTTAAAACTTCCAAGCCTACTATTTTTATTATACATAATAATGCCAAGCATTATTATGTATAGTATAAACCTCTGATACAAAGTTTTCAATAAAACAACCTGAGGTTTAGATACCGTGGTTGGTAGTGATTTATTTCCTCTCTATCAGGCTTTCAGATGTCAGACATGTAACATTACAGTGTAAAAAATACTTGATGAATATTAAATATACAATTAGTATTAGAACAAACATCATATCAGCCGTTAAATGTCCAGTGCTGAACATAAGCCGCTATAAGGAGGGGTTTGCTAATAATTGCCATGTTTGGCAGGCGGTTGGCAACCTCAGTTAGGATTTGGTGAGTATTTAAAGTAGGCGCTGTGCCCATTGTTCGACCATTAAGTTTTCTTAGTCGCCTCTTACGACACCAAC